CACACACACACACACACACACACACACACACACACCCCCACAGACAGCTGCATCTCATGAGGAATGTGAGGAGCCGAGTGCTGGGAAACACTCCATATAAGGCCATGGAGGTAGAATCCTGCTTTTATCAATGAGAGGAGCGTGTTTGCTCCACTGAGCCTGAGCTCTGTCGCGCTCGCGCAGGATCTCAGGACAGGACAGGTGCTGCTGCGGACCCACTGCATCTGTTCATCATTCACACTCAATAAACCCCACACGCCTTTCACAGAACAACAGCCGTCGTTACTATTATGAGCTCATGTGTTAAATCTGCCGTGGGCCATTTCTCTGTAAAATAATGAGTGTTTCCAGACAGGTTTCCTCGGGCTCAGACATTATGCAAAAATTTATTTTTATCTTATTTTCTAGTTAAAATATCAAATAATCCTTAAGCACCGCATGAGATATTCAGATTGTTTCCAGTGATTCAGAGCATACAGTAAGACATTCACAAAAATGACGTCTTAATAAACTTTACTAGTATTATTTCACTTGTTTTCTACTAGAGAAGGAAAAAAATTCATCTGCAAATCATTTAATTCAAATTAAACAAACTGCTTAGCACAGCACTGCATGTGATATTCAGATAGTTTTCAGTGACTGCGTGTTTAATACAAGTGACAGATTCTTCCACTTTTTCTTTTTTGACTTATTTGTAATTAAAACTAGCGAAAATATATTCATATCTGAATATCACACGCAGTGCAGTGTTAAGCAATTTGTTTATTTTTATTCAATTTACAGATTTTTTTTATTAACTGGAAAATAAGAGAAATAACACCAAATAAAGCTCATAAAGAAGTAGTTTTTGCAGTGAATGTCTTACTGTATGCTCTGAATTAATGCGAAATGTCCAATCTGTGGTTAATCACATTATTGCCAAAAAATATTTATTATTAAGATGATAATAATTGTGTCTACGGACAGTACTAATTATATAAATAGATAAATAAATACAATAATTTACATATTAATGATAATAATATATTCATTTATTAATAGTTTTCTTTTAATTTTGTTAAAGTTTCAGTAATTTTGTTGTGTTTTATGTATAATTATTTTCTATTTCTATTTCAGCTATTATTTATTTTATTTCAAGTAACAAATGTTTTTAATTTAACTCCTGATACATATTCATACAATGTAAAGTTTCAGTAATTTTGTTGTGTTTTATGTATAATTATTTTCTATTTCTATTTCAGCTATTATTTATTTTATTTCAAGTAACAAAAATGTTTTTAATTTAACTCCTGATACATATTCATACAATATATGTGATGCCAATCCCAGCTGAATAAACCTATTAAACTGCTTCTATTTACAAACACAGCATGAGATCTGACATGCATTCTGATTCTCCGTGAGATCAATACTTCATCCAGAGCGAGAGCAACAAGTAAGCATGAGCTGTTTGGGTTCCAGACGGCGCTGAAGCTCTGTGTTGGACTGGAGACACGCTGCAGCTGAACGTCTCGAAGAGCTCTCGCTGAAGCACCGTCATTTACAAGTGATTCATTTCTGACCGGATCACATCAACAGACTCCAAAGAGAGGGTCATAACCAGTGCAGCACTATTTATACTCACTATCTGCTGGAGGACGAGCGAGGAGTGCAGATGTGAATCACTCTAGTAAACACGGTACAGACGCAGACGGACCGTCTGGAGAAGAGGCAGATCAGAAGAACAAACACGCGCCGCAGACGGGAGGAATTAAATACTGGAGCGCTTCGATATGGCAACAATAACTCTTCAGCGTGTAGATTTTGGACCGACTCGAGAGTCTTTGTGATTCATAGATTCTTATAAAATGGATAGTTGACTCTGATTGGCTGAGCCACGTTCGAAGCTGTTGTAAATGACTCTACAAAGTAACATACACCTTTGTTTACGTTTGTGTGTTGCTTTGTAGAGTCATTTACAACAGCTTCGAATGCGGCTCAGCCAATCAGAATCAAGCACCGGAACTATCGGTTTATAAGGAAAGACGAGGCCCTGCAGAACATCTCAATTCTGAATGAAGAGCCGCAGACTCACCTTGGTTTCTCCCAGACTCTCGGATTCGGACACCTGGTATGTGAGGTCGGTCTCCTCGAAGCCCGTGGCACTCATGCGCTGGTCCGTGGACGGGTCGGAGCGCGGCGGAGAGTCCGGGGAGTTCAGGCAGGTTTGGATCAGAGCTTTGCCCGTCTCGCTGGTGATCATGGGCTGCAGCTTACGCGTGGCGAACGTGTAGACGTGCCCTGTCTCGCTGGCCACCAGCAGCAGGACCTGAGTTCCCGTGAGCGTGAATGGCTCGTACGCCTTCAGAGACACACACACACACACACACATCAGACCTCACAAATCACATGTCTAGAGTTTGAGCTCAGGCTTTTAAATGTCAAATCAAAGGAATAGTTCAAACTAAATGATGTAGATGAGTTTGTGTCTTCATCAGGTTTGGAGAAATGTAGCACTGCATCAGTGTCTCAGCAATGGATGCTCTGCAGTGAATGGGTGCCGTCAGAATGAGAGCTGATAAAAACATCACAATAATCCACAGCATTCCAGTACAAGTTTAGAGCTGTTTTGGCTTGTAAACGCTGCTTGATCTGTGCAGATTTCTCTCCTGATTCACACCAGAACACTGACTCACTGGAGGAAGAGTTATTATGGATTATGGACTCTATGGTATTTTAGTTTAAAAAATCTTAATGCTGGATTAGTTTCAGCTTTTGTCTTCTCCAGATGTTAACTGATGGACTGGAGTGCTGTGGATTATTGTGATGTTTTTATCAGCTCTCATTCTGACGGCACCCATTCACTGCAGAGCATCCATTGCTGAGACACTGATGCAGTGCTACATTTCAATCTCGGAATAATCCTGAGGGTGAGGATGTTTTCAGAAAACTGATATTGTTGGGTGAACTATTCCTTTAAAGTCAAGTTTTATGAAATACAGATCACGTTTTGGCTTGCTTAGATGGGGACACGTAATATTTCTCAATAACATTATTGACTTCATCACTGTTTTCTCCAGAGCTGCTTTATAGATGAACTCGATCCATATTAACTGATGCACTTCACACAGTTATTAAATTGAACTGAATAAACAATGAACTGACTTTAACTGAAATATTGACTATTGGCCTCTCTTTTGTTTGCATTACTGAAACGTTATTTTCTTGTCTGACACTGTAAAGCTGCTTTGACACGATCTGTATTGTATAAAGCGCTGCAGAAATAAAGGTGGCTTCACATTAATAAAGAGGAAAATAACAGTGTTGCAAAGTTACAGAAGTGGTTTATGTTCGGAGACTGAACTGATGTTTGTACTGATGGAGAATCTAGCATCAGTGTTCACTAACAGATAACCGGCGGAGACGGTTTAACAGATCCAGACGAGCGATCGCTCCAGACGCAGCTGAAACAATGTGAGATAAGACTCTGTTAACAGAGCCGCTGGTCGAGAGCTAGACTAGAACCCCAACACCTTCAGTCATCACCAGTGCCTTCGTTAGATCAATGCATTTTAGTTTGATATTTTTTATGCTTGTTAGGGGATGTTATGTTACTAAATTATATTTATGCAATAATTATAATCCATTTATTAGCTATGAAACACTTTTTGAGCACAGACCTGAAACTTAAGCTGTGGCGAATCTTGAATGCTTTTAAAACACAGACTTAAGTTCGGTCGGGTCTCTTTTTAAAGAAGACACTTCAAGATTATTGCTGAAGTGAAAAGTCAAAAAAGTGAAGAAATTTTTTTTTTTTTTTACAGAAGTTTAAGATTATCATCATGATAAATGCACAGAAACAGTTGTGTTCCAAATTTGAGGTTGATATTTCAAAAATAAATAAATTGTATTTATTTACATTTTAAAAAATTATTAATTAATAATATATATATAGGCCTATATATACACATACACACACATATTCATATATATAATATTTTGTTTGGGCACAGTGCTAAACGTTTCCACTAAATTAAATTCACTTCCCATTCATTTAAAGATATAAAGTCTTGTTTTACGATAAAAGTTTTAAGATAAAACTTTTATTTTTTTGTATTTATTTATTATTGAATGCCATGTCAGCAGCAAAGCTATCTTCACGGCAAAAGAACAAAAACAAAAGTCATATAAAAGACATTTAAGCTTAATACTAGACAAAACATCTAAAATGCATTCTGGTGATACTTTGATTTAAATGCATCAGTCAAATAAAACCATTGTCTATTTATGTTAAAAACAGTGCGGTCCAATAAAAGAACAATGTTTAGCAGTCAAATTTCATTCAAAGGGAAAACGAGATCATTTTTCTAAACCCTTTTAAGAATAAATCACTTATTTTTTCAGAAAACAAGACTCGATCCGTTTAACCCATCTTGGTTTAAGATGCATTTTCGACCTTTGTTTGGCATGTGTTTGAGGAGCAGCTGAGCCGTAAAGAGCAGCAGATGAGCTGAAGATCGTCTCTTCATCAGCTCTGCGTTTGCTCAGCTGTTGAGGACGGCAGGTGAAGCACATGTGTTCAGGGTTAGGTGCTTCACTCACGAGCTCGAACGTAACGAAGGGAAATGAGACGCACACAAACTCTCTGGAAGGAACGTTTGGTCAATTCTGTGAGTGACACGAGGAGGAACTCTTCTGTTGGATTACGTTAAAATGGCCAAATCACTGATGAACGACAGCTTGACCGTTTCCAGATTGAACGGGCTTCGTGTGCGCTCCAGACAACGGCTGCCGTCAGGTTCAGAAAAACTCTCACTTTCTCAAACCGTAATGAATGGAAGAATTCCCTTTCCACGGGAAGACTACCAGCAGCTCTCTCCTTCCAATCCATCATGAAGATCAGGAGGAGGACCCGAGAGAGACACCCGCCACACTTCGGTTCAGCTGAACCAGGAGCTGATGAAAGATCCTCAGACCTGCTGAACTACAGCCAATGACGCGGACTATTACTCCATCTCAAAGGAATAGCTCAGCCAACAGTGAAAATGTGCTCCTCTGCAGTGAATGGGTGCCGTCAGAATGAGAGTCTAAACATCACAATAATCCATGGCTTGTAAACAATGCTTGATCTGTGCAGATTTCTCTCCTGATTCAGACCTTGTGGATTATTGTGATGTTTTTATCAGCTCTCATTCTGACGGCACCCATTCACTGCAGAGCAGCCATTGCTGAGACACTGATGCAGTGCTACATTTCTCCAAACCTGATGAAGAAACACACTCATCCTGATCTCGGATGACCTGAGGATGAACACATTTACAGAAAAGTATCATTGTTGGCTGAACTATTGCTTTGAAGTCATCGTTCGCTCAAAGACGAACATCTTGTCGTCATTTACTCACCCTCACGTTGTGGAACTCAAAAAAGGAGACGTTGAGCGTAATGTTCATGCTGCTCTTTTACATACAACCATCAAACACTATTGAAGTACTATAAAAGCATTTCTGTGCTTTTCTATATTCTGTGAAACATATGAAATTAAATACAGTGCATGAGTAATACGGACTATTGTAATAGTGCTTTGTGGAACTTGAATTTTAGGAATAAAAAGTCCTGCATATAGATTTCTTTGAAATGGTTGTTTTGTGCTTTATGGAACGACGTGAAGGTGAGCAACCAATATGAGAATTTGTGTTTAACTACAGTAGCATCGCTCTAAAAACGTTCCCAAAATGTTTACTTTCCAAGCATCTCCTCAGTTGTTTCTGCGGCCTGAGATTATGTGGGTCATGATGGTTGGAGGTTTGTGTGTAATAGAGAATGTCAGCGGCTCGTTCTATTTAAAGCTCACAGTCCCTCACGTCTGTTGTGACTTCAGATCACCTCTCGAAGGATGGACAGCACACAGAGACTTCACCCACGCAAAATGAAGAAACAAACTCATCCTGATCTCGGATGACCTGAGGATGAACACATTTACAGAAAAGTATCATTGTTGGCTGAACTATTGCTTTGAAGTCATCGTTCGCTCAAAGACGAACATCTTGTCGTCATTTACTCACCCTCACGTTGTGGAACTCAAAAAAGGAGACGTTGAGCGTAATGTTCATGCTGCTCTTTTACATACAACCATCAAACACTATTGAAGTACTATAAAAGCATTTCTGTGCTTTTCTATATTCTGTGAAACATATGAAATTAAATACAGTGCATGAGTAATACGGACTATTGTAATAGTGCTTTGTGGAACTTGAATTTTAGGAATAAAAAGTCCTGCATATAGATTTCTTTGAAATGGTTGTTTTGTGCTTTATGGAACGACGTGAAGGTGAGCAACCAATATGAGAATTTGTGTTTAACTACAGTAGCATCGCTCTAAAAACGTTCCCAAAATGTTTACTTTCCAAGCATCTCCTCAGTTGTTTCTGCGGCCTGAGATTATGTGGGTCATGATGGTTGGAGGTTTGTGTGTAATAGAGAATGTCAGCGGCTCGTTCTATTTAGAGCTCACAGTCCCTCACGTCTGTTGTGACTTCAGATCACCTCTCGAAGGATGGACAGCACACAGAGACTTCAGCCACGCAAGCCCAGATACTCCTGGAGACCTGAAGGCCTATTTTCTCCAGCAGGAGTACAAACAGAGTGACATGCAGCAAGAGTCCAGAGCTCTAGACTAATGTGGAGCAGCTCAGAAGAATGAGAAGCGTCTCGAGTACTTTGTGCCCAAATCAGATGATGACTTTTGATTTGGCCCACCATCCCATAAAAATGACTCAAATATTAATTTATAACAAAATAAAAAAATGTTATTTAATATTTCATTTTACATTGAAATTATTTTTTTTTAAATATTCACTTTTTTTAAAAATGTTAGAAATTGTATCGATTTTAATATAACATAATTGGATTTAACGCAACATTTAATTGCAACATTCAAAAGTCTTTAGCTCTAGGAGAAACAACTGGTGTTACTTTTATGACTTTCTTTCCTGAATGTATTTTCATTTCATTATCCTATTCAGTCATGCAGTTCTCTAGCAGGACTCGAACCTGCAAACTTTCAGTTACCAGACTGCATCAGAATACCTGAAACACGGCTGATGGTGTTCAGCTTCTCACCTTCTTCATGATGCCCGTCTTCCTCTTGCTGAAGGTCGTGTACCGTCGCAGTTTGTTGTCTATAAACTCCATCTTTATCTTCACTCTGCCGCGGGTCTTCTTGCCCGGTTTCGCTCCGGCCGCTCCACCCGCGAGCGCCGCGGAGGGCAAGCCGGCCTCAGGTCCCACCATCGCGGCTTCCATCTCCGCTCTCTCCCGCTTGACGCCGCCTCCCCTCCGGTTGTCCCCGACTGACCCCATGGGCTCGTTCTCATCGCCGGAGTCAGAGTCCGCGTCGGAGCCGCTGCACACGTGCGGGGGACCCTCGTTATCCGGCTCGAACCTCCCGGGCATCCCGAGCCCCATCGGCCCCAGCCCCCGGGCGAACCCCGCGCGGACCCCGGCGCCCAGCACCACCGCGCCGTGGCCTGCGCTCTTCCCCGCCGCTGATCCGGCTCCACTCAGAGCCGCTCCGCTCTGGCTGGATAACATCCTAGAAACCGGAGAGTACGATCCGTGTGACGGCTGCGGAGCGCTGAGGCGGCAGTCTGTGAGAAAGCGAGTTCCGAAGCGGCGCTCATACACAAACAGAGTCCGCGAGAAACTTTGAGAAGTGATGCTGAACCTGAGCGCCTCCAGCCGGCTTCACTCCCACTCTCTCTCTCTCTCCTGGAGCTCCGCGAGCGACGCGCTTTCTCTAAAAGGGAAACCGCACGAGCGCTTCCGCGATCACTCCGCCGCGTCATCTAGTGCGCCGCGAACGCGTGAAATCAGCGCTCTTCTCCGCTCGCGCGCCGCTGCCGCTTCAGCCCCGCGTCTCTCCGCTGACAGCTGTCAATCACCGCCGCTGATGAGACGCTTCGCAGCACCTTGCGCCAGCGCGGAGGGATCGATACACGCCCGATCTACTTTCATCCATATAAAGAGATACTCTGTTTCCTTTTTTGGAGTTCTCGCTCCTTATATGGCGAGTCACAGTCGAGTGCAGCGATTGGCTCGCGGGGGGACGGCCTGCAGCGCGATTGGCTAAAGCGACATCTTATTTGCATAAAAACCAAAACGGTTGTGCTCACTTAATACGTCACACTAGGGGGAGGAGCTTCGCGTCAGGCCTATGCTAAATTATTCTATTAATAGATGCGGGATATTAATAGCAACAATAGTAAGGTTATTAAAGTGATATAAAAATAGGCTACATTATTAAACTTTCATAATACTATTATTTAGTATTAATACAAATATTAGTCTATTTCTCAGTAATGTCACTGATAAAACTGCATAGGCTCACAGAAACACACACAAACAAACCAAACAATCATTCCACTGCAACTAGCATTTCCCTCATTTTAATGGCACTAAATGTGGTTCCCATAGAAACAGTTATAAAGCCTCAGATGTGAGAGAGGGAGCTGAACACTTCATTGAAATACTTGAATCAGACGCTTCACATCCATGTATTCTTCATCTGAATTCCTCAGAATCAAGTGTTCAGTCGTGACACACATCTGAGCTTCTCAGCGCTGGATCTTCAGAGGTCACGGATCTCAGGAAACTCGAAACACCAAGAACTGTTGAGATTTCAGCATTTCATTTCATGCAGACAAAAATGACTGATAAAAGAGTTACTAAAAGCCACCGGAGAAGCTTTGGAAGAGCGAGAATCAACTGCTTTCATGTTCAGGTTGCACACAAATCAACATGAACACACATTTGCATGTAGCCAAGTGTCAGAACAAGTGTCAGAACAACAAATAATGTTTTTTATTAAAATAAGAGGCAAACATGAAGAAACAGAATCATCTGAGAGAGAGAGATGGGGGTCATAATCTGCATGAAGAGCATCATGAGTGACACAGACGCACCTGAGCTCTTCTCTCATGACACACATCATTTGCATGACAAGTTAACTGATGGACTGGAGTGCTGTGGATTATTGTGATGTTTTTATCAGCTGTTTGGACTCTCATTCTGACGGCACCCATTCACTGCAGAGCATCCATTGCTGAGACACTGATGCAGTGCTACATTTCTACAAACCTGATGAAGAAACAACATCTGCATGTCGAATTCCTTGATGGTGAGCACATTTTAATTTATGGCTGAACTATTCCTAAAAAGTAACTGTGGAATGCATGTGTCCCTTGATCAAACAGAGGAAAAACACGAACAAAAACTGGCAACACTTTTGGGAGATGTACCATATTGTATGATTGTCTCTGGATTAACGTGGAAATCCCATCACAGTACTTCTTTGGTAAGGGAAGGGGCATCATTTGACTAATTATACATGGAGAAACAGAACGGATTCTTAATACAGTTGATTTTATGGAGCACAGAAACATCAATGCTGTTAAAAACGTGACTGTTTAATGAGAGCAGCACTACATCTGGATTACTGTGACCTTTATAAAGCAGAATATAAAAGTGTTACTGTGTGAGAGCCTGCCTTAAAAATAACCATGAACAGACAATGACCACAGAGATGAAAAACAAACAACAACAACAATAAAAATACATATGAAACGATTATATAAAAGCAGTTGTTAAAAACAACAAGCATTAACTGCATTACAAAAGATACTGTAAAAAAAACTTCATGTTCTAGGCACTCTTAGTTGTAAAAAACAAAGTTGATTTAATCTTTTCACCTGATGAAAACCACTGAGAGCAAACAGTGCAGGACGTGTTTCTGCTGCGGGAGTCTGAATGAAACCAACACTGGCCACATTAAAATCACAGACACACAAAACCTTCATCAAAGCTCACGCAGTCCTCAAACGACGTCACAATAATATCTGCTGTAATGCAAAAGTTATTCATTTCCATGACTTTTCCAGGTTTAGAAATCACACTTTTAAAATCAGCGTTCCTCACATAATCATGTTTTCCTTTCTGGCTCTTAATAGACAAAAACAGTTGTTTAAGTGGTGAATTAAAATAAGAAATAGCTTGATTTTATGCTGTTTTAATGCTTATTGTCTTTTTTTTAAATAACGTTTTTGAGAACCCCTACTGGACCTGGTTGAGAACCGCTGATCTACATCAATAATCACAACACATCAACATGACACCTTAAGTTTTAAGTGTAATTTGTGTATCATCTCAGTTTGTTGGTCGTGTGTTTGAGAAAAACAATCCAGAAGGACTTTGTGGAGACGGAATTACAATAAAATGTGATTAATCATGGCTTAGAAATGTTCGCAATCTGAGGCATTGCATATATATTTATTACAATAACACAGTCACCTGTGAGCACCTCAGAGAAACAAAGATCTTATTATCATTAAGAACAATCTCTCTATCACACACACACACCACACACACACACACACACGTGTTAATTAGTGAATATTTGTTAATCGTATTATAGCTTTGTATGTCAGTCTCTAACTTCATCATTAATCTCTCAGTTTCCCAAATATAAGTGACTGAATTCCATTAACGATGTGTTTCGTGACAAGACATCATCCTGTGAAAACACACACTCTCACACACACACACACTCTGTACACACTGCTGATTCCAGTGCGTGACGTGAACCGCAGGCATGACGTGATCCCAGCATCATGTGTGTGCAGCACCTCGTCCTGCGTCTGTAACCTGATGGATCTGCGATTGTCCAGCGCTGCAGAGGTCAACGGTCATCCTCGGAGTCCCTGAGGCTCCAGCGAGAGGAAGGAGCTTCTACATTAGTGTAAACAGATCATTAATGGGACAGAAGCGTGTCTCGAAGCAGACTCTCACGCCTGAAATGTGTGTGATTGAGTCTCTGATTGCAGTCGTGATCCTCTAGACTTTGGTGTCTGTGGAGGAATCAGTCAGAGTCTGAAGGATCTCACTGAACGTGGGCCGTTCTTTAGGGCTGGACGCCCAGCAGCGGCTCATCAGACTGCAGACGTGAGCAGGACAGTTCACTGGAGGAGACAAATGCAGAGTACCTGCCTGGAGACCTGAGACACACGAGACACAGAGAGACACTCATTAGACACACATGAGACACAGAAAGACACACAAGACAGAGATAGACACAAGAGACACAAGAAACACAGAGATACACATGAGACTCAGAGAGACACTCATGAGACACACGAGACATACACACATGAGACATAGATAGACACACAAGACACACATGAGACACTTCATCAACTGACATTCGTTCAAGAGATTTTAAGACATTAAAAGATCAACAACTGATACTGACACTATGAACATCTATCTATCTATCTGACCATAAAGCCTTCAAATGAGATCTGAAGGTCAGAGATTGACCATCTTATGATGATCCTACAACGATCATCTGCTAAACGCAAGGTTTCTGCAGTTTTTTTAAATCAAATTTTCAGACCTGCACTAATAAATCAATCAGGTCAAATAAATTAAAATCAATCAGGTTTCTTAAATTCTTTTACTTCATTAAACAGGCTGGAGCAAGTTCAACTGCAAAACGATGAAATACTCAAGATATGTTTAATTCAATATTTACATATGTTTATGTACTAATACATTAATACATATGAATTAGAGGTTTATTGATATTGGATTTTGCTGATATGATAATAATGTGTTTCAAGGAAGGCATAAATCGATAAATAAACGGATTAATAAAGAATAATTAAGATTATTGTGCCGATACTAGTTAAATCTCTATATTAAATGTGTAAAATAAATGTTCTTAGTCTTTCTTTCATGTGACAGGTGGTTCAGAGTGAAAATACAAGGGTTTACATTGATTTAAATGCCAATTACAGTTTACTGTGTAACCAAAATGTCAATAATATCCAGAAAAAAAAGATTTTATGTATAATGCAGGACTTTTAATCATAAACTTTAAGCCCAAAATTCACCAGGACTCTTATTTTGAAATGTATATGATTTACTAGTTCCTCCTGCTCACTCAAACAGATGAAAGAAATAAAATAACCACAACCATCTACAATAAATGACAATATAAACACCATGAAGTAAACATTGTCTTAAATCATAACAGCCGATCATAAGCAATTTATTGGGATAAATGTGTCATGACTCATGATTCCTGCTGTTCCATCCCCAAATTTAAAGGCACAGTATGTAATGTTTCGCCCGCTAGAGGGCGCGTATTCAAAACAAACAAATCAATGGCAAAGGCAAATCAAAGGTGTGGTTTGATGAGGCTGTGACTGAGTGTGGAATCATGGGAGTTGTGGTCTTCATCCCCACAGCCGATGCAATCCGACGGGACTCGGCAGAAATCATGTTCATGGATGAGCTGATGATTTATTAACGTAGTAGAATGAAGCAGAGTGAGGCTGAAAGCCGTCGAAGAGAAACGAGGCGCTGAACGAGCGCGACACACGGCTGGAAAGCAGCGGAGCTTT